ATTCTATACAGCCGTATAGTTCAGGTTTCCGGGAAAGTCCTGCCTCGGAATAATCAGTGCCATGATCCTAGAGGACACTGTGCCTAGTTAATTAGATGCTATGTGCATATTTTTGTTCTGCAGAAAAAGTCCATTCTTGCCTTCTAGGAGCTTCCCTGAAACATGAGTATCACACAGAATTAATAACTAGCAAAAATCCCTTCTCAACCAGAAGTTATCCTTTGCAAAATTTTTTGGTGTAAATTTGACTCCTGTAAACATCTTCCTCTCCGTTCCTAAGAACGTTATATGTAGTGAATCTTTGATAATTTGGGAAATGAGAGATTTGGAGAAGAAAAGGTAGACCAAGAGATAGCATGTCATGCCATGGAACTTTGAAGGAAATTTATAGAAACATACAGAAGTAAGGAAGGTAAAGGGTAGAGTGGAGTCCAGTCCCTTTTCCTATTTTTTCTCATAAAGCTTAAATTCTTCCACTTACTCGGTATATATAACTAAAGATCAAATGAATGATGTAGCTATGTGTACCACTGAAACCAAGAAAGGCTAGAAGAGTAGAGTGTGGGACCAGCACACCCCCCCAGAGATGGGTGGGATCCAGATTGGAGGAGAGGTGAGGAGAGAAGTGGAGAGCAGCAAGAAGTTGGGCTCTCGACCTCTTTCCTGTGTCTGCTGCAAGGGAGAGTTAAGAGGCAGGTAACAGAGGATGATGTCACGGGCAACTGCCGGAGGCCTTCCTGTGCAGCACAAAGCCTGTATAATCCTCTAGTTTTGGGAGAGGAAGTTGAGAGACCTACTTACACATTTTGACCATCGTAAATGAAGAGTGGAACTTATTTTACATCTGGGGTCACTCTGAGTTCTACGCAATGTGAAGCTGTAACTCAGAGCCATAAATGTATTCATATAACTGAAGAACCAAATTCAAGGGGAAAATATCTTTCATTGTATATATTATCTGTAACAAACCAAACAAATTCATAGCTTTTTTTCTAACCTCTGGGGACAGAAAATGCTCAAAAGTTTCTATCAATTCAAAGGTGAAAAATGAAAATGCATCAATAACAAAGAGCCAACATATCCACTCACAACTTGTCCCTTTTCCTATTTTTTCTCATAATGTTCAAATTCTTCCACTTACTTAGTTTCTATTACTAAATATCAAATGAATGGTGCAGGTAAGTACACCATGGACACTGAGAAGAAAGAGACCAGAAGGGTGGCCCTGGGAGGAGTGTGGGAGCAGCACATCCCCAATGAGAGATGGGTAGGATGCAGGTTAGAGGAGGAAGGGCATTCTTGGAGGCAAGAACAGCGAGTGCTGCTGCTCTTCATGTGTTGTAGTCATGAAGCGGTGTTAGAGGAAATCACTGAGTCATCTTCCTTACCTGTTGCAGATGAGCTTCAGCAAAAGTGCAGTGATGCTCCAGCGAAGCTCCTTGGGCCGTATACAGGAAAAGTCAGTCCACAGGCTCTGAGAAAGCTGAAGAGAGAGTACATATCAGTCAAGCTCTCAGCAGTGCAAAGAATAGGACAGGCTGCATTATAAGAGAAGCCAGCACTAGGACAAGTCTGGAGAGGGTCTCTCAGTGTAGTTCCACTCCAGATGTTACTCTAGCCAGGAACTGGCCCTGTGGAGTGGAAGCAGTCACTGGCAAAGCTAGCTCCAACCCCGTTGTGCAGATGGTGGGGGTATAGTGCTTGAATTTGTGATAAAATAAGGTCACTAATGTTTATTCCTGAATATGCAGCACTTGTAAAATTATTAAAATTCAGCTAGAAGCTAGACAGAATGTTTTATCTCTTGATATTTTGAAATAACACTGGAGTTGAGAATGTAGCTAGAAGTTGCGGCAGTGAGGAAAGAGGCCTGGTCAAAACAGAAGGTTTTATTGAGATGTGCAAAATAATGTTGGATGAACACCAGAGGCAGTTGTTTTTTGTTTCTTGAGACGAAGTTTCACTCTGTCACACAGGCTGAAGTGCAGTGGCACGATCTCAGCTCACTGCAGCCTCTGCCTCCCAGGTAGCTAGGATTACAGGCGTGCACCACCACACCTGGCTAATTTTTATACTTTTACTAGAGATGGGGTTTTGTCATGTTGCCCAGGCTGGTCTCAAACTCCTGAGCTCAAAGTGATCAGCCTGCCTTGGCCTCCCAAAGTGCTGGGAATACAGGCATGAAACACCATGCCCAGCCTGGAGGCAGTTTTACTAAAGTGCCTTTAGCTATCAGAGTGAATTTTTCCATTGTTTTGTTTCCTTTCTGACTGTTCAATTATGTTTTATCCTAAGAAGAATCCCTAAAGGAATCAGATTTTGATGACTTCTATTGAGTAGATTAAAAACAGCAAACAAAAGAACTAAGCCAGCAAATTCATTTCCAGCTTCAACATTTCTCTTTGCTTCAATTTAAATAGGTATTTTCAATGCTCTGAAAAATTTGCAGACTCATTCCTCTTTTACTTCATTATAAAATTTGTTTAAAATGTCATGATTTATTGGAAATTCCGTTGTTGAGGAATTCCTGCATTTCTCCAGTTAGAATTGTGTTTTCTTGGATCCCCCAAAGATCTCTCTCTATTTTTTTGAGGGGAGGGGGTTCTAACTTGACGCCTTATCTGTCTTTCAGACCTTTATGCCCTATGTCCCTTCCTGGCGTTTGCTGTGCCTTCTTTCTGGTCAGGGTCATCTCAGACTTCGAAATCAAAACTTGGAGCTGCTTCATAGGGGTGGCCTCTCTGATAGCGTTTTGTTGGCTTGGTTCAAATGCCTATCTTGCATTTCCTTGTAGATCTTGATGAGTGTGCCACCAAGCAGCACAACTGCCAGTTCCTCTGTGTTAACACCATCGGTGGCTTCACGTGCAAATGTCCTCCTGGATTTACCCAACACCATACGGCCTGCATTGGTGAGTGGGAGAGGAAAAAACCCTATATAGAATGTAGCAATTCTTCTCTATTTCCTCTGCTGTTGGGATAAGAAAACAAAAGCTCAAAGAAATACATGAGTGCGTGTATGTGAGAGCACACACACCTGCACATGCATGTGGAGAGTTGTTGGCCTTATTTGGCCTTTTCTGAGTCATCCTTCTAACTTTCTTTTAAACAATACAAAGAGAGCTTTAGGGAATTTTAACCCCTCCTTGCTTCCACCACTTCTCATAGATAACAACGAATGCACCTCTGACATCAATCTGTGTGGGTCTAAGGGCATTTGCCAGAACACTCCTGGAAGCTTCACCTGTGAATGCCAGCGGGGATTCTCACTTGATCAGACTGGCTCCAGCTGTGAAGGTAGGTAGACACCTCAGCTGCGATCCAGCTGGTGAGTCGCTGTGGAGGTGGCCTGCGCTGTGAAGGTGACCTTCATTATCAGCCTCTCTGAGATAGCAGATCTGAGCCCAGGGAGCCACCCCTAAAATAGTGTGCACAGGGTTTTGTCTCATGCCTGTGTCTAACACACATGCCTTTCCTAAGGCTATCAACACCTTTTCTGCTCAGTTTTTAATTTAACCTAATAGGGAATAAGTCAATCAAGCAAAATTGGCAGATTCTTGACTTTGATTCATTGATTTTCTGGTCACTGGGTCCAGAACCATAAAGGGATTTCCCTCATGTGGAGTAAACATGAGGAATAAGCTCTTCTGATGACATTTAATTAAAAGTTTAAATGATATTTGTAGGAGTTGATTGTGGCTTTTGACACCTTTTGATTTCTAATTCTGGCACACACCAAAAAAAAAAAAAAAAAAAAAAAGCAAACACAAATAACTTACATAGCTGTCCTGGAGAGTACTTTGGGCTCTGCACTAATTTCCTGATCATTTTTATTTGTAGATGTTGCTGGGGCTCTCTGAATGTTTTTCTCCTTTGACTTAGCAGCAGTTCCAGAAGAGATATTCTTGAAGTTGTTGGTGGTAGAATAATGTGTAGGATGTGTCGGGGCTGGCTTTCTCATCAGAATACATGTGGCTTCAGAGCGATGTGGAGTTGGCGTCATGGTGGTTCTGCTTCTTTTTCAGACGTGGACGAGTGTGAGGGCAACCACCGCTGCCAGCACGGCTGCCAGAACATCATCGGAGGCTACAGGTGCAGCTGCCCCCAGGGCTACCTCCAGCACTACCAGTGGAACCAGTGTGTTGGCAAGTAACTTCTCCTCACTCTCAAGATGCATGGCTATCAGCTCCTAGGAGGCAAAACACTGCTTTCTTTCTGAAGCTGTAAATGTGTTACTGAAGCAATGAATGCTCATTTAAATTTGCCCTAACCTGGTTGAAACCCAAGGGAAATAACAGCTTTTGCAAAACACCAAAGTAAGAAAAAATATCGTGACCGAGGGTGCTTCGAGAGCATCTGAAATGAAATGCCCCTGGCACTTCTTGATGCCAGTATCCTCCAGCGTCCTGCTGCACTTGAGCTCTGTTCACATCAGGGGTCAAAAAACCTTACTTAGGATTGAAAAATATCAGCCAGCCAGAGGCTGTTTTGAGTGACTTTTGGCCTGAAGATGCCAAAGTAGTTCTGTTCAGCTCTACACATTTGGGGACAGAGTGCGAGCAGCAGAGTGCGAGCAACAAAACCCTTGTCGTGTCTGCTGCTCGTACTCTGTCCCCAAGGGTTTTGGTTTTTTTTTTTTTCACGATTGCTAAATTCTTCAAGGGAGAGCTGCAGACGCTCTCATTAAATTGAAATGATGTTCTACAATGTAATGGGAAAATAACTCTTAATGCATGTCAGAGAATCCAAACAATATGAGTTTGGAGGGTTACCAGAGGCCATTCAGCTCAGGTACTTTGTTTAACTGATAAAGACCTAGAAGTCCAGGAAGAGAAGGTAGTATGGCCTTGCCTAGGTCTTTTGTGACATGCCTAGAACTAGAACCCAAAACGCATTTTTTTTTTTTTTTTTTGGCGATGGAATTTTGCTCTTGTTGCACAAGCTGGCATTCAATGGCACCATCTCAGCTCACTCTCACAACTCTTAGCACTCTGATGTAGGGCTGCCTTTCAAGTGTCACATTCACTTGTTTTTTTCATTCCAAGCATCTGGAGTGCCAGTGCACGCTTGGTGCTTTGGTAGCCTTTTCTAATTGACACACTATTAAGTACAGAGCCCTCCGTAGCAAAAACTCAAAGAATTACTGCTTCCTGGGTGCAGGCTCGGCCTTGCAATGGTTCTCTTTCATGCAGAGGAGGTCATTTTGGTGTGTTTTCATTTATCAAAATCATCTCTCTCATCTAGTTTGATTCCGCACAAGACACAGTTTTGCAGTGTCACCCAGGGTTGACTGAAGTGGCCCCTGTGCTTTAGAAGTTTAGACTGCACAAGTCTCTGGCTAGCTATCTGGTTTTGGTAAAAATGTCAGTTCATTATCAGCTCAGGGAGGTCGTGGATTTAATCCCCAGTTTCTGACATGGTTCACAGAACTTCCAGAGTGAACTTTGTTGATTCAGTACCCAGTTTATGAGCCTGTCTGTTCTCATTATGTAGGTCCCTTTAATAACACTGGAGCTATGTGAAAAAACTTGAGAGAGGAAAGGTATGTCACTCCTGTACCTTATCCTCCTCCTCCTACCTTCAGTCTGAGGATAGTAGAGGTGACCAGGCCATGAACTAGTTTCCTGGAGATTCTGCTTGAGTCTTGTGAAGGTCATCTCCTGGCTGGACACTCTAAAACAATAAGTTCATTTAGAAGTCAGAAGAAGTTTGGGGTTCTTAATGCCTCCAAATGCCAAATTGCCCTCATAAATCTTGAGAATTAGAGTTACCTAGAATGAGCATTGCCTTGGGCTAAAATAGCTTCCCCAGAACCACTAGAAGCAGAGATCTCTTAGACCAGTCCTCCCTGGATCCTCACTCGAAGATGGCTGCAAGTTCACTCTTTGGGGTAAGGGGGCCACTGATTTCATTGTTTTCTAGAAGTAAATTTCAAAAATTCAGCTTGCAGATAGATGGAGTTTTGACCCATTTTGCCATAGAGAAAATTAGTTAAAGAAAGCCCATCCTACATTTGTGAATTTTCCTATCGTTACTCCCTTAAGGCCACAGCTAATCATGAACAGTGCAAGCTGGATGCTGAAGCCTTTGATTTTAGAGGACAGAGTGGTGGGTTTCCATCTGCTTTTAAGGAGTGGTTTTTAGACTTTAATGCTGTTTTGATAAAATTTGAATTGTCTCTTTTTATGAAACGAACAAAACCCTCACCTAAGTACCGACCGAAGAATCAAACATATATTTGGGAGTGTAAAAAAACTCCGGGGAGAGTCATTTGCTCCAAGGTGTAGAGGATGAAAAAGGTCAGGAAAAGTGAAAAACATGTTAACCAAATCATGGCGTTTGTATATTAATAGAAAGGGCAAGTGCAAAATCATGCTATTTTCAAACTGTAAACACTGAATATTTGCAAATTTCTTATTTTAATCTGTGCTCCACTCCATTCCACCTCTCCAACCTAGATAAGCAAGTTTAATTTAAACTTTATTAAATTCTCGGGGAGGGGGGAAAATGTAAAATAAAAAGAATCTGAAAGGGGCGGGGGAGAGCTCTTGATATTTGTAGTAACAGATAGATGCTCAAAGTTAAAAATAACCTTAGAGATCTAGCCTTCCCTGTTTCCTAATATATAAATCCTTCTCTAAGTTCCTTGCTTATCACAGGTTGGCTTAAATACCACCTTGAAGGGCACTCACTTTCTCCCAAGATATCCCAGTCTATCTATAGATAGCTTTTAATACTTAGAAATGTCTTTTTTTGGTTAAAAAAAAAAATCACTTCTCCCTCTAATTTCTCACCATTCGTCCTCCTTCTGCCCTTTGGAGGAAAAAACACAGAATAAATCTAAGTTATATAATGACAAGTCTTCCCCCTAATATACCCACGCCTTACAGGTTTTTTTAGTCAAGGTCCCAGCAAGAAACAGATGGCTGAGGCCAACCAGAAGTGGGGGACAGGGGAGCAGAGCTTGCTCATGTTCCGTAGATCACCCACCTGGGGCCAAGAGCTGGTGGAGAAGGTAGAGGATGGACATGGAGGGGCAAGAAGACATCAGCCCAGAGGTGTTCTCTCCACTGAAGTTAATACGCTTGCTTCATCATTCTTTGTTGGACATGGAGCTTGGTGCCCACGGTTTCTCTTGCTCTTTATTGCACATCTCATCCTCACTTTAAAATAAGGAGAAAGAACACAGACAATGTGTTGAGCACAGAAAGAGAAAGGGAAGAATGAGAAAGAGAAAATTTTTATTTCTAAGAGTCCTGAAGCCTAAGTGACCTTGGGTGGAGATTTGAAAGTCTTTGAATACAAAAGGTCTTCACACAGCCAAAGTTATAGACCTATAGCTGATGGGAAAGAGGGAACGAGAAGGGAGGAAGGGAGAGAGGGAGGGAGAAAGGGAAAAAAGGAAGGGAGGGAGGAAGGGAAAAACAGAGGGAGAGAAGGGAAGCAGATATGGAAGGCAAGCAGGCAGGAGGACAATGTGAGTATCTACTAAATATATACAAGTGAGCATCCTTCCCACCCCACTTTTATCTACCTGTTTTCTAATTTAAAAAAATAAAAAATAGATATTTTTGAGAAACAATTTTAATTATAAATGAATCTGCCTTAGCAAAGAAGGTAAACCAATTATAGGAGAAAGAAAACACCAGCTTAAATGTGGGAGTGTCTCTAGACCTGCCCTGTGGTAGAAAGGAAAGCACATGGACGGCCATTGCAGTCCAACTGACCTGGCTGTGAATTTCTGCCCCGCTGCTGCTGGCTGTGAGATCTTGGAAGGGCTTTCTGAGCCTCACTTTCTTCAGCTGTAAAACAGAGAATATAACACGTCTTTCTCAGAGTTGTTAGGAAAGCCAAGGAAATGAATGGGTAACACCTATATCCTATCTATCATATAATAGGTATCTAATAAACATTCATTCCCTTCCCCTTCCTCTCTTCCATAAGAAGTGGGTATCCACTAAGTGAAGGCAAGGCCAATCTCCCTACATTCAAATGAACATATGCCTGAAAATGGGCTATGGCAATTAAGAAATGTCTAACCAGCAAATTTCCAACCTGCTCTGCAAAGGCAGGTCTACAAAAATATATTGGAGACTTCCAAAAATTATAAATCAGAAATAATGAGAAACTTATGGTTTTCTCCTTTCTAGTTGATTTTTTTAAGTAAGAGTTCTTTTTCCTGCTTCTTAGCATCAGACTTGGCAGGTCCCTGTGGGTATCCAGTCCTGCAGCCTCTGTCTCTCTTGTGGGTTTTCCCCAATTACTGCTCGTGAAGTCTGCACCGAATCCCTTCCAGCCACACTTAGTTTTAGACAGGGCTCAGACACTCTGGGCAGGAGGCTGGTTTGAATAAGGAAGGGGCCGAATCAGTGATGGGAGCAGACATACCAGAAGGCACTATTCATCCCCCAGAACAAGTACCTGGGGGCTTTTTCGGATTTTTGAAAAGGAAATCCAAGTGGGGCAGACACTTCGGGCAGGATCTCACCCCTTGCGAGATCGGCACATCCTGAAATAGGTGGACGGGGAAAGCAGGCTCCGGAAAAACGGTTGGTCTCTGCTTTTGAGATATTTATCTCCTCTCTGGGCACTTGTGAAGCAAGTTCGCCAAAGAATCGCAAGATTCCTTCTTTCCCATCTTGAACCCTAAATCTTAGCTACAGACCAGCACCATGTTGGTTCATTACTAGATGTTTATGTGGAGCAGAAGATACCAGTGTTGACTTCTGATGAGAACTGTAGTCGGCTGGTCCTCAGAATGCCATCCTCTAATGCCCTCTGCCTGCTGCATCTGACTTCATCTTCCATGTTTACTCACAACATAGCAAGAGGCCACATCTGTGCCCACATCTTTCTCTGCTGTTGCTCTCCCCACCCAGCCACCTCTGCCTGCCTTACCTTTCTGAGAACCTACCTGAGGGCCAGCTGGCCAGCAGCAAATGGTAGATCCAGTGTCCTCAATAGAAATCTCTGGCTGCTGCCACACATGCTGCTTCTTGTTTTCCCTGCAGATGAAAACGAATGCCTCAGCGCCCACATTTGCGGAGGAGCCTCCTGTCACAACACTCTGGGGAGCTACAAGTGCATGTGTCCCGCCGGCTTCCAGTATGAGCAGTTCAGTGGAGGATGCCAGGACATCAATGAATGTGGCTCTTCACAGGCCCCCTGCAGCTACGGCTGTTCCAATACTGAGGGTGGTTACCTGTGCGGCTGTCCACCTGGTTACTTCCGCATAGGCCAAGGGTAAGCACTGCTCTTTCTGGTCCTGGTTGGAGATTCTCTCATTTGTAATATAATTAAGTATACTGAACTCAAAATTACCTCTTCTAGTAGAGGAGAACCATGCTTTTTGTAATCCTAAAATTAATTGCAGTTAGCTTGGCAAAAGTTTTAGGTTATTTCATTTGAAAGAAGCATCTGGATTTCTGGAAACATCAAAGTAATGAAACTACATTGTAGATATCTCACTATATGACTTCTCGATCTCATTGTCCTGATCTTCACATCTTGTTGTGAAGCGATTCATCTCTCTGTAAATGCACCTCTCTGCCAACCAGTGACAGAACTGGACTTACCCTGCACCCTACTGACCCAGTCTTCTCCTGGGGCAGGCAGGATTCCATCTTGACTTAAAATGCCTTTCAATTCAGTTCCTGTCAAAGATATCCCTTTGGGTTGGAGATCCTTTTGGGTTTTAAATTATATTTTACATTTCAAACTTAAATTTACATTAAATGTTACCCAAGGTACATTAGTTATGAGAATTGAAACACTATTTTTCTGGTTAAAAAAAAAAAAAAAACTTCATCAAATTATAGGTATGTCTGTGTGAGAGTTGGGGCAGGTAAGACATTTTTATTTTACTAAGTGATTTAAAAGTTTAGTGTTAAATTTTCAAAGTTTGGATCTTTTTTCCTGCTGAATCAATCTGGACTCGGGTGTCTACCTTGTTTTAGCTATCCTGAGAGAAAGTGCACATTTTAACTTTTTAATTAGGAACGCATAGACATTAAATAGACATACACATTATTACTCCCCCACATGCATGTACACACACCACACACACACATCCACACTCATATTAATTATTAATGTAGCAGTCTTTGATTTCTTGACATACAGACACCAAGTGATTCGTTCGGATCCGGGTAGGTAGAAGAATGTTTCGTGAGAAGCACACAGAATGCCAGCATTCGGACACAAATTCCCAGATGTTTGTGTCTGGCTCTCAGTAGACTCATTCTTTATAGTTTAATGCCAGAACCATTTTTTCCCAGCAAAAATTGTGACACTCTAAACTGGCTTTTGGCCAGTGGGATTTTGTAGTCACACTTCTTAAAAGTGGTGCTCCTGGGATATGAAAATACTGGAAAGGAGTTCTGAGAATGGAACCAAAGCCTGCAGATTTGGAGTTTACCTCCTAATGTCATCATTGTGTGAATGTATACACATGTGCATACACACAGAGGATGAGCCTTTATCATTTCATCCATTGCACTGTTTCTGCATATTTCATGTTGCAAGATAAAGAGGAAAGGAGATGTATTGAGCTCTGGAAAGATTGGGAGAAATAGTAGGAACCTGTAAATTGCTTCTAAATACAACATATTATGTTCATTGCAAAGTATTTTGAATCCCAAGGGTATATAGGAAAATGAGCTCTAAAAAGCATATCAGCTATTACAGAAAAACAAATAGTGTTAGGTCTACATTATGACCCATTATTAGAAATCTACCCATTTAAAACAGTTTTGGCCTCTCTGAATCACTAGAGTGGACTCTGCCCCCAAATAAAGATTCTTTTAAGGACCATTCACATGTTTCAACACATTTGGAAAGAGGAGCTTGATAAACACACATTCCAAGTGGCCTCAGAAATAGTAAGCAGAATAACAAAACAAGGTACTTGTGAAACATTCAAGCCTCCCTCCATAACTTGGCTTTGATAACTGAAAGGCAAAGAAAAACAACTGAACTAGTTCTCTCTTGGGCATGGGTTTGTTTATCCGCCTTCGTATGAGTCAGAGCCAGCGGCCCTAGTGGTTTTGAATGACTTGAAACAGTTTCCCACAGTTGGGCAAGCCCTGATGCATGCATTTCATATACTGCATATCTTCATAGTTTATTACATTAAGCTTCATTACCATCTGGAGCTCTCTTCTTATCCTCAGTAGCATCAGCAAAAGTGAAACATGAAGGAATAGGAGCAATTGCTCGGAAGCTTGAGTGAGGAGGAGTAATTATGGAAGCGGGAGAATGCAAGAAACTCAGCAGTGATGTCTCACACCTTGCTCACTCCCATGGAGCCTGGTTCATAAAGAGAAGCCATTTTTATTTAGCCTCCCAAGTTACATGGCCTCCCTCATCTACCATTCTCTAGTTTCCACTCTGTGTCTCCTCCCCAGCGGAAGTACTGCAAAAGGCCTTCCATGTGAGGTTTAGGAATTAAGGGATAAACAAATATGCAAAACAGTGTCTTTCTACAGGTAGTAGAAAGAAATCAGTACACTCCGGCAACCGGGAATGAGAGGCCAAACAGAAGACCTCTCAATGTAGTTCTCAGAACCAGCTCATCCTCCAGTGGACAAGCAAGGGCTGTATCTCCCAAGTACCGGGACCGGGCTTCACCAGAACTCTTGTACCACCTACCTTGTCTTCCCATTCTAACGAAAAGCATCTATGCTCCCCTTGTACTGCAGGCACTGTGTTTCTGGAATGGGCATGGGCCGAGGAAACCCAGAGCCACCTGTCAGTGGTGAGATGGATGACAATTCACTCTCCCCAGAGGCTTGTTACGAGTGTAAGATCAATGGCTACCCCAAACGGGGCAGGAAACGGAGAAGCACAAATGAAACTGATGTCTCCCATATCGAGGTGGGTCAGAAGGTCGTTCCTCCTGATGTCTCCTATTGTGCAAAGCCCTCCCAGATTCCTGTGGTTTCCTACGAGGATGCTCCAAAGTGTGAAAAAGCTCCCCGGAGAGAAACTCCAGACATTCCCTGAGCTCTAGGCTGCATTTTACAAGAGGCTGTGGGACTTTCTGGAGTTTCTTGCTGCTTTTCGGGAGTGGCCATTTGAAGGTTTTCACATGCTTGCTCATTTCCTCTGTCTCGCCAAAAAAAAGTCAACTACCCACCCAAAGTCTGCTGAAAGGATAAGGTCTGAGATCCAGGACAGCAAGTGGGCAGAACAGCGAAGTGACATAGTGCTCCCTACATAGGCACGCCAAGTTCTGAAAGCTAGAGGCTCCTCTACTGAAAAGAGACATGTGGAGTGTGAGGGAATTTGGACTGCAGACAAAAATAACGTGGAGCTGAAGCAGCCTGGTTTCCTTTGCCCACGGCTGCTGCAGCCTTTCAGTCAACTCAGAAGTGCACAGATATTCACTCAGACCTCTGGCTCCAGGCCCATAGAATCTAGCACATGTGGTCCCATAGAGGCAAGAAAGAAGCCAGGTAAAAAGCATTGAACTTAGCAGATCATCACAGTCAGGAAGTAGGCTCATAGGTGTGTCCTTCGGAGGGGATGGTTTTGCGTCACTGAACCAAACTGAAACAGTCTGCTTCTTCGTATTGGTGCTGTGACCCATCTGTTGTCACTTAAAAATTGAGATAAGTCTTTGGAAAGAAAATAATCTATTAAAACAGTGGTTCTCAAACTTGAGTGTGCAGCTGAACCACCTACTAGGTGTTGTTAAAATGGATTGCTGGGAGACATCCCCAGCATTTCTGATTCAGGAGGTCTAGGGTAATGCCGAGAATTTGCATTTCTGACAGATTCCCAGGTGCTGCTCATGCAGCTTGTTCAGGGCCTACACTTTGAGACCTCCAGATACAAATGATTTCGACCTGCCTTTCTGCCTTTCTTCCTGACATCAGCTAATATTTTCAAATATTACAAATATATGCCAATTTAATACATTTGTGGTTTAAACAAAGTGCTTTATGAATGTGTGTTTTCAATGTTGTGTATGCAGCATAAGGCAGAAAATTGTATTAGTGTGACGTTTCAGTCGTTTTTTCTTTACTGTGAGAGCTAAGTGGCATAGGTACATTGTGTTTAACACATTGCCCTGTGTCTTCCCAGGATCAGTCTGAGACAGAAGCTAATGTGAGCCTTGCAAGTTGGGATGTTGAGAAGACGGCCATCTTTGCCTTCAATATTTCCCACATTAGTAACAAGGTTCGAATCCTAGAACTCCTTCCAGCTCTTACGACTCTGACAAATCACAACAGATACTTGATCAAATCTGGAAATGAAGATGGCTTCTTTAAAATCAACCAAAAGGAAGGGATCAGCTACCTCCACTTCACAAAGAAGCAGCCAGTGGCTGGAACCTATTCATTACAAATCAGTAGTACTCCACTTTATAAAAAGAAAGAACTTAACCAGCTAGAAGACAAATATGACAAAGACTACCTCAGTGGTGAACTGGGTGATAATCTGAAGATGAAAATCCAGATTTTGCTTCATTAATTCACCATCCAGAGACCAAATAATTAAAAGAAAAATATAGATAGGTAGAACTATATTTTCCCCCAATCAGAATCATCATATCATAGGTACAGTCTTTCACCAAGTAAATTTGTATAAATAAGCACTATTCTTGTATTACCAAAGCAAGGTACAGGTGACTACCCTAGTTCAAAACAACCACTTTCTCAGGCTTCTCGTGTGTGTAGCTAAGCTACCTTGTCATATGTGTTGATTCTTGAAAACTGGGACATGTATTTCCATTGGGGGTTGGCCATTTATGCTGACATGCCATCCTTCCAGCAAACGTACAGGAATGTGCTTTCAATTGATGGACTACTTTTTTTTTTTTTGCAAATTTGTAAACTTTGCTTCTCCAAATACAAGTACTAGGTTGCCCATTTATGATATCTATTTGGTGCTAGTCAATTTTCAAACTAGATTTATAAATGCACTGTAATATTTACACAACTTAGAAACCAAATTACAAATATTCAGTTCCAATACTTCATTAATTTCAATCAACCAAAGTTAGTTCAGTAGCTTCTCTCAGTTATGAGTATAATACATTACATGTAAATTAAGTGTGTGTATACTG